GACAGATCCAGCAAGATAAGTATAGAAGATTTATACTTCAGCCGCTCTTGCTAGTCTTAGGGCTTCAACAACTGAGAGCAAGGCAGTCTTGGTCGAATGTCCACTTCTGAAGCCAGATTGGTTGCTGTCCAGGAGGTTGTTCTGTATGAGAAAGGGTGAGACTTGGTTGAACACAACTCGTTCAAGTGTTTTTGCAATGAAAGGTAGAAGGGAAACCGGTCTGTAGTTCTCTAAAAGAGTTGGGTTAAGAGTGGGTTTCTTAAGAAGTGGGGTTATACGAGCCTGGTTAATGTTGAGGGAAAAACACCAGTGTGAAGGGATGTGTTAACGATGTGAGTGAGTGCAGGTACAACGGCAGGAGAAATGGCTTGAAGGAGATGAGATGGAATAGGGTCAAGCGGACAAGTAGTAGGATGATTGGAAAGGATGAGTTTAGAGACTTCTGCCTCAGAGAGTGGAGAGAAGGATGAAAACGAGTGTATGTTAATATATATAAATACACAATAATATATATAAATACACACACATACAGTATATATTTTGAAAATATTTACATGTATATACATTTATATATTTATATTCTTATATTTTATATTATATATAAATATATTTAATATATAAACATAACATATTTTTCTTAAATATATACATGCATGTGTTTGTATTTATATAGACATAATAAATATACACAGTATACACACATATATTATGTAAACAAAAACTTTTATTTTGGATGCGATTAATCGTTTGACAGCACTATTATTATTATTATATTATTTCAACATTTTAAGACTTAATATTATTATATTTTTATAACAATTCAGGACTTAATAAATAAATAAAGGTAAGAAAATTAACTAAAGTTTAAGTAAAGGTAAACTTTACTTTTAAAAAGTTAAATTCTACTTTAGAATTTACTACTGCACATAAATCATATATAATTTTGCATTGTAGTTTAAGGATGTAGCATTTGTTTTTTATGATTACAGTACATCCAAAGAAAGTCAGTAGCCTATAATAGTCTAATAATTTTTTTAACTGTGTTACTTGACAAATTTAATTTTAGATGTATTGTTTTTGAAAACGAAATCAAGCTGTACATCTAAACCAGACTGTGGTTTCTTTCAAATGATTTTTGAAATGTGTTGATATATAAAGCACACCTGCTTGTTCCGTTTACTCGTCAATAGATGGCGCCCCAACTCCGTTCTGCTGTTGATTTGTCATTCAATCACGCTAGACTCGTTGTGTCCTTTAAAAATAAAACTATTACGGTCACATGTTTAATTTTAGGTCGCATAATTATGGCATGCTGACAGCCGTTTTGCCTCTGCACTAAACTTAAAGTATTTCCAGCGAATATTCGCGTGTCACAGCGTCAAATGTCTATAATAAACATTCCCCGAATTTAATGGTTCCGCCCGGAAACGCCCGGGGAAAGATTTATCCATAATATCCAACATACATTTTCCTCGGTGACTGACATCAACGTTATTTAGGTAAGTTGAATAGTCGTAATTAACACTGACTCGGTCAAAACATGTAAATATAATCGTTTTGTTTTTAACACGAGTAGTTGTCAACCTGCTGATGTCTCGTGGAAAAACACACTCATGTTTTTATGCTAGCACACGTTGACATTAGCCACTTCACTGCTGATATTCATATTTTGTGAACAAATGTCTTTTTAGAATATATTGACTGTTCTCGTTTCAAAATATAGAAATTACGTCTTTTTGGGCGACGTTTTAAAGTTTATGTGAAAGTGAAAGATTTTAATTAGTAATTTTATTCTTACCCAAAGTCATTCAAGTTGATTTTTTAACTTATCCTTCCAAGGCTGGGCTTTGCCCTATAGCTCCTAGTTAAATCTCTAAAGTAAAACAGCATGCAAAATAGGTATTTATTGAGAATGTGTTGGAACTGTCCTGTTTAATGGCATTGATATCGTATAATAAATATCAAGCAATACATTTGGATAAAAGCGTCATTATGTAAAGAGATGTGAGTGTAAATGAGGAGTAATGGGAATCCCGGCGGTGTGAGTCGGTTTGATCAGTGTAACTGTCATCAGCTGAGCGTCCTGATGCGGCTGCTGGTCGCGTGCCTCTATTGTCTGCGTCATTCACGCGCTCTCTGAACAACAAAAGCGCAAACTAACGCCAGTCGAGCGAAGCGTCCCGCTGCTAAAGCTACACCCACAGTCAGACACGAGTGCTGTGTCAGGCCACGAAAAACAAGCTCATTTGGCTGATGCATCCCTAGTGCAGACAGAGGCAGTCAGTAGTGAAGTATTTTTACTCTGCTTTAAAAGTAAAATTTTCAAGTGTCTATACTTTATCAGAGTGTTTTTCTTTAGAAAACTTTACTTCACAACATTCCAAAGCATAATGTCGTACGTTTTACTGCACTGCAAACTAGGTTTCATATTAAATATCATTTAATACTTAATTACATTAGAAATCTAATCTAGTACTTTCTTACTTTTACTCGAGTAAAAGTAATTAAAATTTTTACTTGAGTACAAGAAAGTACTACATTTTTAAAGTTCTTAAGTATTAAAGGTAAAACAACAACAACTTTTAATCATATAATGTAGTGCAGTAAAAATTACAACATCATGCTTTGGAATGTAGTGAAGTAGAAGTTTTACAAAGAAAAGCACTCTGATAAAGTACAGATACTTTTTAAATTTACTTGAGTAAAATACAAATACTTCACTACTGTTCAGATCCGAGTGCAGAGCAGGATCTGATGTTGTGTGAGGGGTCTCTGTGTCCGCTAGATGTCAGTGAAGACCAGAGGAGATGTGAGCGAGCGTCAGGAGCGAGAGCTTTGGAGCTCAGTGCCAGGAGCTTCCCCTGAGACTGCTGAGAGAAACAGTCCAGACTCCAGACCAAAAAAAACAAAACATCCTCAGCCTCAAAAGCATGTCGCCTAGCCAGCTGGCAGACTGCTGTTCCCACAGGGAGGGAGACGTGTTCGTGTGTGAGAGACTCAGACGTGTACATGTGGCTACTGACACCTGAGGCACTTGTTCACATGTTGCTCAACACGAATCACTTCGACTGTTCAGTCGACAAACTAGGGAAAAACCCTTGTTACATGTTTCCTCTCATAATAAGAAGGTAAATCTTAGCCCAGAAGCATTGCACATACAATGGGGAACGATATATAACACTTTTTTTTGTGAGTAGACTGTTGCTGACTTGGGAAAAACTGCCTGAGAATGTGTGAGAACTCACTGAAACGACATCAACATTAAGAGCAGCTGCCAAACTGCACATTTTTGGGGATTGCTACATGGAAAAAAAAAACACAATTTTCATTTTACACTCATTTGTTTGAGGTCATCTAGCAAGTCCTGCTGTAACTTCCCAGCCTGAGAGACATTCTGAGAGAGTTTTTTGGTTATAAACCGGTGATGAATGTTATTAAAATCCACCGGGCAGAAGAATTATGCAATGTTAGACGTGTTCGAGTCTCTTAAGCATGTTGTAGCCTGTGCCTCAAAAACATTAAAAATAAATTTAAATTTAAAATTTAATTGTGGAAATTTACTGTACATTTATAATGTGGTTGTGATTCTTTAATCCACTTGTTGCATCTAAAAGAATTAATAATATTGTTTTTATTGTTATTATTTACATTTTTAGAGTTTTGTAATTTAAACAAAATAATATAGAAATGTAATATTGTCTGTTTATCAGTTGATGGCCATAACAGGAAAATAATTATTAATCTATCAGTATCAGCCATAAATTGATTATTTGTGCATCCCTACATCAAAATTGACCCCATTTACTTTCTTAATACATGATCCTTGTCGTATTGTGCACAATTATTGGTGCACAATATTACAAAAAAAAGTTTTCATAATAAAAGCTTCCGTTAAAAATCCGTAATTTGCTCCATTTCCTTTTTTCGGCTCACATCACCAAGCCCACTTCTTTTTTAACCACTCATCATATCAAGACTGCTTTTTCCTATCCGATCGAATCCTGATGGGTGAAGCGAGTGCTGAACACAATAGCAATGACCTTAACAGAGGCTTAGCGAAGTCAACGTCATCACGGCCAATTTTGCACATTCAAAAAATGTAATAATCCACTCGATTAAAGAGTTGTCGTTCGTTCCACGAGTGGAAGCAATACAGGACTGTAAGTACATACCTGTCTCCTTCAACAACAATCTCACTTTTTGAACTTCCCATTGACTAACTGCATAGTCTACATTCCTTAATGTCCTTCCGCCCCACTTTCCTCCCATGCGTGTGTGTATGTTAATGCCTGGAGAAGAATGAGGTTAGGGTGGAGTAGAGACAAAGACCAGAGAATATAATGTGTTTGTGTGTCATCGCGTGCCGCCACACCAATCACGGAAAGTTCGCTTATGGGAAAAGACTATCCTAAATAATGTTTAAGCTCATGAAGGCAGCGTTGTGGGCAAATCCGATGATCTCCGTGCAGCCTGATGGGACGAGGGGGTGGGGTTGTGCTGAGAGTGGATGGAGAAAAGCCCTTTGCACCACTTCCCCAGGCTGTCGGTCAGGAAGGCTGGATTTTTTTCACCGTGACCACCGTGCTGCCCTTCCGGGAGAAATCCGAGACAAACACCAAGAAGGAAAACCAGCCCTGGGAAGAAGGAGAGGCTAGGAGAAGAAAGGTGTTGGCGACACAGCATGAGAGAGACTGTTGCTTTCAGGGCTCCTCATAGGAGCGTATACCTCCCCTCCGTTACCTCATTGTCACCGGCCTGTCCTGTCTCGCCCCCGTCTTCCTCCTCAAAAAAATGGCTCATCTTCTCACAGTTTTGTGGCCTGGAATCACTGCCCAAAATACAAAGGCCCAACACCTCACACACAACAATAGACTCCTCCTTTCTTTCCCGGTTACGCGTATTAAATGTTAATTTTCGGGCCCTTTTTGCTCGATTCAAATGCGGTGTGAAGTATCCACATGTAACAATAGCTGACTGGGGAAAAAGAGTCAAGGAGTGCATTACAATGGAAGTGAAATAGTTAAGCCTGTATCCCGGATTTAAGAGGAAAAGTTGGTAAAGTCTTCGAGTGGCGGGAAAAGTGAATACGAAAACGAAACATTCATGCATTCCTGGCCTTAATTATGATCCATTTCTGCTGAGCCGATTTTGACAGGTTTGTGGAGCTACAGCTGGTTGTAAAGAAGAGGAATTACCTAACACACTATATAATGTGTCTGTTTCTCACTCTGAGCTGTCAACTACAGACTGTGAAGCCGTACGTATGCAAACTTGAGAAAGAACAGACATGGACTATATTTAGGATGGCTGTATACCTTCTCAAACTAGGATTGTTTACTGAAAAAAAAAAAAAAAAAAAGTGTTTGCAACCGTTATCAAAATGTAATGCCTTTCTTTCTCAGCTGTCATTGCTGATTTTTCAACCAGTTTTTTACAACTATATAGAGACCATTTTTTATGGTCAAACCAGTCAGGTTTTACTTGTTGAAATAAGGTCATATCGTGGAAAGAAAGTTTGCAAATGCATTTGGACTTTCAAGTCAAGTGAACTGTTTAACCTGTGGGAATTGTTGTTTTTAAACGTTCCCTCATCTGCCACTAGCCAGTCAAACAGGTAGTCCCACCCTTATGTATACATGTATACATTCATATAATATAATATATATATATATAATATTTTGATTTAAAAATGTTGAATAAAGAAATCAGTTTGGGTTGGAAAAGGAATGACAACATTTTTATAAAAACCTCAGACCATCGCAGTCTTGACACATTGAGCTGTGGTGCTCATGTGGGAAAAAACAGTTTGAGCCCAGCCTGCAACGTCTGCTGTTACAATGTTGTTCGCAGTCTTGCATCGATGTAATGACTTTTGACTGACATTTTGTGCTCTCCCCTCCAATTACCTGCCATATAGAGACAATTTTTTACGATCAAATCAGGTTTTTTTTGTTTACATATTTCAGAATATTCTGAAATATGTAAACAAAAAAAACCTGATTTGATAAAAATTGTCTACTTGAAATTGCACATGAAATTGTTTTGAAACACTGGCTCTTCCAATGGCATGAGTTTGGGGCAGGACTAATGGCAGAAGAGGAAAAGTTTGAAAATCGACATTATTTCTGCAGATCTCTCTGGCATAAAAGTGAAACAAATTAAAATGTGTTCGCAATTGCAACCCATTGTACATGTTTCAGAATATTCATCGAGTAAAACCTGATCAGACCATAAAAATGGCCTCTATTTGACAGGTAGTTGGAGGGAAGGCGATGAAATGTCAGCCGAAAATGAAAGTCATCACATTTTTATGTAAACTTCGTAACAGGAAATGTTGCAGGCTGGACTCAAACTTGTTTTCCCCATTTGAGCACCACAGCTCAATGTGTCAAGAGCATGTGGACTGCTGACGGTTTAATGATTTTTCAAGTGTTGGCTTTTCTTTTCCAGTGTGAACTAATTTCTTTATACAACATTTTTAATCAATATATATATATTTATTAATATGTAATAACGTTGAGTCTTAGACAGGAATACCTCTTTTAACCACTTTGGCAGATGAGAGAATGTTTTTAAACTGACATTAGTTCTGCAATTCTTTCTGGTGCAAAAAAGAATTAAATTCCAAGTGAACTGCATTCTGAGTCACAACCCATTTTATTTCGGCATTGTGACAAATAGTGACAATTTTTTACGATCAAATCAGGTTTTTTTTGTTTACATATTTCAGAATATTCTGAAATATGTAAACAAAAAAAACCTGATTTGATCGTAAAAAATTGTCACTATTTGTCACAATGCCGAAATAAAATGGGTTGTGACTCAGAATGCAGTTCACTTGGAATTTAATTCTTTTTTGCACCAGAAAGAATTGCAGAACTAATGTCAGTTTAAAAACATTCTCTCATCTGCCAAAGTGGTTAAAAGAGGTATTCCTGTCTAAGACTCAACGTTATTACATATTAATAAATATATATATATTGATTAAAAATGTTGTATAAAGAAATTAGTTCACACTGGAAAAGAAAAGCCAACACTTGAAAAATCATTAAACCGTCAGCAGTCCACATGCTCTTGACACATTGAGCTGTGGTGCTCAAATGGGGAAAACAAGTTTGAGTCCAGCCTGCAACATTTCCTGTTACGAAGTTTACATAAAAATGTGATGACTTTCATTTTCGGCTGACATTTCATCGCCTTCCCTCCAACTACCTGTCAAATAGAGGCCATTTTTATGGTCTGATCAGGTTTTACTCGATGAATATTCTGAAACATGTACAATGGGTTGCAATTGCGAACACATTTTAATTTGTTTCACTTTTATGCCAGAGAGATCTGCAGAAATAATGTCGATTTTCAAACTTTTCCTCTTCTGCCATTAGTCCTGCCCCAAACTCATGCCATTGGAAGAGCCAGTGTTTCAAAACAATTTCATGTGCAATTTCAAGTAAAGTGGTTCATTTTGTTGAAATAATGTATGCCTTCAAAACAGTCCCTCATCTGTCAAACAGGCAGTCCCACTCCAAATTCACTTGAGTTGGATGAGCCTTTTAGTTATAAATTAAAATATATCTTGATTAAAAAAAAACTGTTTGAATTGGAAAAGGATTGAGAATAATGAGCAATGGCATTTTGGGCTGTGGTGCTGATATGGGAAAAACAAGTTTGAGTCTGGCCTGCAACGCTTTCTATCACACTCTGCTTTAACGGTTTAATAAAAAATGGTCAAAAGTTGCAAAATGCAGTACAGTCAGCGTGAGAATTTGTGAGGGTGGAGTGAAAACAGACTGAGTGTAACTGTGTGTAACCCTGCTGTCATGTGTGCTGCCCCAGGTGTTGACCTGCCTGCCCTGCAGGAGCACCTCTGTGGCCTGTGGAGCAGGAAAGAGCAGGAGGAGGTAAGAAACAGATGTAATTATACCCCAGCTGAGCATGTGAGCGTCTCATGAGAAGTGAGACGCTCGTGATAAGATCACATAAGAGAGAGGCCTAGCCAACCACTTTCTCAAAATCCCTGTATTCCTCCCCCCAATTTTTAGGACATACTCAATACTTTTCAAAAAGACCCCTACATTTAAAATGTGCCCTCCCCCCCAGGTTTCAGTTGCTTCTTCAGCCCTTATGAGGATAATTTAGACTTTAAATGCAATAATCAGAGTTGTAACCGCATTGAATTAAAAGAATGATTGCAAGTTGAGTTCTATCGTTTGCATTTATGGTATAATGTCTATGACCACAGAAAACATTTTTAACTTGTCCCTCAAAAAAAAAAAAAAAATGAACTGAGGGACATGTTAAAATTTTCTAGTTTAAATAGTCATTATATCACAAATACTGTTGATATTAAAAATTTTCATAATTTTCAAATCCATCCGCATCCATTCTCCCTTTCTTTGTAAAAGAAACAGTAAGAAATAAATGAATTTAATTGATTTTGGTATCACTAGTAAATATTTTCGTAATATTATGACCACACAATTGTAACTTGACGAACAAATGATTGTGCAGTATTGACCAGGTTTTACATTCAAAAGCCACAGAGTTGTAGTTTTGTTAAGAAATAAATGCGGAATACAGAATATTAAGTAATACGTATTATTGAAGTAATTTAAATTTATTAATAATTTTATTAATCAATGCTTTATTATTTTATTTTATTTTATTTTATTTTATTTTATTTTATTTTATTTTATTTTATTTTATTTTATTTTATTTTATTTTATTTTATTTTATTTTATTTTATTTTATTTTATTTTATTTTATTTTATTTTATTTTATTTTATTTTATTTTATTTTATTTTATTTTATTTTATTTTATTTTATTTTATTTTATTATTTTATTATATTTTATTTTATTTTATTTTATTCAGCTGCGTCAGTTTTTAGCGAGCAGTTTCTCACAGATGCAGGAGCCCTTGGCTGGTCTGCTGGGCTTCCTGCAGGGCTGGCTTACCGTCCAGAAGGGCAAGTCCAGCACGCTGCACCAGTTCATTCTCACAGAGTTTATGCGCTGGAGGACCAGTAATCCCCAGGCCAGTCTGAATGGCCTGAGGGAAGAAGAGAGACTGCGTTTGCAGAAGAAAGCCCTGGGTCTCCTCACAGACTCTCATCCCGGGTACATGGACCCCCTGCTGGAGATTTATCAGCTGAGCTCACTGAAAAGACCACTGCTGCTGGAACATGTGGACTTCCTGCATGACTGCTGCTGCTTCAAAGAGGTGAGAGGAAGTCGTCACCAGCTGAGTGACACTTTTACAGTATGTTCCAATACAGTGATATAAGAAAAATAAAATAGTTGCTAGTAGTAGAAAAATATAGTAAGGTCAGTTATGGGCAATATTTATTTATTTAAATAAATAAACAAAATAAATAAGTAATAGTACAAAATTTGTTTTATTTATATTAATTTATTGTTTTGTTTTTAGACAAAATTCTGAGGTCGCATATTCTAATTTCAAATATTTTTTGTGTGAATTTTGAGTAACCGTCTAAAAATAAATGTTTAATAAATTTAATATGCGTCATATTTGCTATCATTAAATGCAGGAATCAAAATTATGTCTAGGTCAGATTGCATCCCCCAAATCAAACAAACAAACAAATAAATATGTTGCTCATAATTAAAAACAAAGATTACAATTATTTACTGCTATTAATTTTACTTTGTAACATTATTTTATGACAATTAAATAAACAAAAAAAAAAAATATATATTTGCTATCATTAAATGCGGGAATTAAAATTTTGTTCAGGTCACATTGCACCCCAAAATCAAAAATCTAATCTAATCAAATCGAATCGAATCTAATCTAATTTAATTTAATTTAATTTAATTTAATTTAATTTAATTTAAATGTTGCTCAAATTACAATTATTTACTACTATTAATTTTTCATTGTAATATTATTTTATGACAATTACATAATAAAAAAATTAATCTACAATTGAGAATTTTACATACTCCAAGTTAAATTAGGCTGTTTAATCCTTTTTTTAATTAATATGTATTACTTCTTTTTTAATTATGAGTTGAATTATTATTTTATTATGAATATGAAATATAATCAGTCTTTTAAATGACTAATAATTGAAAATGCTTATATTTGGCAATAGAAATATAATATAAAGCAAGATATTGTGCAACATAAGCAGCTGTAATGACATGAAATGTTGTGTGTTATGACAGGCGCTGATGTTCGGTGTCAAAGTGGAACTGCAGAAAGATCTGGACATGGAGAAGGTCAGTTCACACAGCTTGATGAGTAGCTGGACCTTCACTGTTTTAAGCTGGACCGTCTGATTTCCGCTGTCCTCTGTTGGTGCTGTTAGATGTGTGTTCCTCTCATTCTGCTGGACAAGCTGTCTCTGGCGGAGCTGTATGTGCGTGAGCATCCTGACCTGCAGCAGCGTCTGGTCTCACTGCTGGACTCCTGGTGCGAGCCCAACTTCAACATGCAGGCACTGCTCAGGTCAGAATGAAAGCAAATGTGTATATATTGAGATATGTATACCATATATATTGAATATTATTGAAAGTTTGAAAATATAATGTTCAAATTTTAACACCCTGCCTGTGCATTACGTTCATCTTTTTATAGAGAATGTGCCAAATGTTTTTAATTGCCAGTAATGTCAAAATACAAAAAAATGGTTTTAATTACGCTTGATTTCTTTTATGCAAAAATCTTTTGAAGCTGGAAATTCAATTATTATTGAAACATATAACTATTAATATTACAATAATATTATAGTGTAGTAACTTTTAATAATATTACTGTTATTAAATTATATTATTATTAATTACATAATAATAATACGTTTCTCTCATATTCTCTCGTTTTATTGCACGCATTTAGCCATCATTTATCAGAGACATTTTTCCTACTGTAATGTTCAGGTGCCTGATTTCAAATCAACATTAATACTATTTATTACTTTTGTGATTCATGAATTTGTTATTATTATTATTATTATTATTATTCAATAACAATAATAATAATAAACTGTTATTTCATATGATGATTAATTTATGTAATTTATCATTCATCCAGCTTCATGTAAATTTTTGTGTTTTGATGCCAGATTTTTACATAAGAAAAAGTTAATTAATTAATTAACTAATTCATAATAATATCAATGGTTTATTTTTTTAAATTTGTTTTTCATCCTCCTTTCCTACAGTACATTTTATTGATAAGATGTGTATTTCACTTGTGCAAAATTGTGTACAATTTATAAATATTTAAAAATCACATGTATTATTTTTCTTATTATTAATAATAATAATAGTCTGTTCTTTCATATTATAATACTCATGTATCCATAATTTTCATCTTTTCTACTATACATTTTAGAGTTTTGATGCCTGATTTTTATTTCTGCAAAACTATGTATAATTAATAAACAATGCATAATATGTATGCACTGTGTGGTTTCAGTCAGTACCCAGACGTGGTTCTCTCAAAACATCAGACGGACCAGATCCAGCCCAAGCTGCTCAGTAAACATGTGTTCAGACTCATGGAGAAATTCTGCATTGATCCCGGTGTGTGAGAGTTTCACTCCACGGCTGTTTGATCTCAAGTGTGTAGGTTTATGAATGTGTGTGTATGTGATGTTTACACTGGTCCCCCGGGGTGTGTTTGCTACAGGTCTGTGCTCTAATTCTGTCTATAAGAGGAAGCTGGATTCACTGAGGTTTCTCATGTACAAAACCTTTGGCGAGGTGAGAAGGTTCCCCTTTTTCACAGACTTTTTTTTTTTAAGTGTCAGGTTCTTAGAAATCTACTCTTTGTATTCATGTTAGTTTCACTTCCGTGACTTAAAATATTTCAGCTAGTGTAACCGTCAAGAAAGAATATTAAATAATAATCAAGCACGAATAAATGTGAGTGTACATATCTTACTCATTGTTTTTTTAATAAATGTTTTTATATATATATTTTTAAGGCAAGACATATTTGTTTTTACAAATGTAATGAATTATTAATTTATAAATATTGTTATGGTTTTGGAGAGTCGCACCACTTGACATTTTACAACTTGCTTTGACGTTTTACTAACCTTGACCTAAAAGGTCAAACTATCTGATATTTTGAGAGACTTATTGACCTTTGCACACAGTCATTAGGGTTTGCAGGGGTTCCTCTCTATGATGTAATTTCCTGTTTTATGGTTTTTGTGTCTGCATGTTGGTTGAACCACATGCCTTTGATTTTGTGGACAGGTTTTTCAAAAATCAATAATATCAATACCACGAATAATAATTAGTAATAATGATTTAAATATAATGCTTAATTTAACATGATTAAGATTGGTAATTAACTTTTAAAAATGAAATGTATTTTTTAGAATATTTATTATAAATAATTTCTGTAGCTTACTAATAATTTATAAATAATTAGTCAAGCATTTTTATTAAAATGTTACTCTTTTTCTAAAGAACCAATAATAAATGATTATGCCAAGCAAATAAATAAATCAGTCAGTCAATCATCAAAAAATAGTTTTGTTTCTTTATGACATGGGAGTTCTTTGATCCTGATAATATCAATAAATTAATACATAGGATGGAAAATGAGTGTCATGTAATCAAATGTAACATCTTCTGTCTCTAAAATGACATGATGAACAATATAAAACTTATATAAAGCCACTTTGTTGGGAAAAAAACTGAAATGTTGTTTTAGTTACTTATAAACCAATCAAATCTTGATTAATAAAATAAAGTCTCCCCCTTTATTTACCACTAAATATTTTGTGCTTTCAAAAATCACATTACAGAGTTTAAAGTTTTAAGAACTGCAGTGATGAGTCTGCTCTATTGTTTTTTATTTGTCAGAAAAGCATGTCGGAAGAGAACTGGAGAGACCATGTTCAGGTAACACTAATTCTGTTTTAATTAAACACTTGAACATTTTAACTGAGTTTTTAAAAAGTGTGTGTGTGTTGTGATCTCAGGCCTTGATTGAAGGCAATACAGAGCTCCAGGTTCAGTTGGTGCAGCTGTTGGTTAAACATTGCAGCCTCCAGACTGCTGCCCAGTGGGCTGCACATTACAACTTACCCAGAAACAGGCTTCCCCTAGGAGTCTGGGACAAAATTCAGAGCCTCTCCCGCAAGAAGCAGCTGTAAGTATTAAATCAAATGCACACACACACACACACACACACACACACAGACTTAAGAAACTATATTTGTGAAGACCTCCCATAAATGATTTCCATTCCAATAATAATAATATTTACTGTAACCCTCACACAAACCTTCTGACACAAGTCTGTTTTTGACACTGTTTGCAAAGATACTTTGGCTTACAAGCCAAAGTACACACACATATTACCATCAACCTCACAAGTATATTCCTGTCATCTTGTCATAGAGAGATGTGTTTTGTGAGCGGCCCACCCGAATCTTGGACACCTCTTCAGTCTGATCAGCAAAAATACTACCAGCTGCCTCTGCCCAGAGAAAACGTCCTCTTTGTAGAGTCATTAGATGAAGTTAAGCAGTGCAGAGAAGCTGTTTTAAAGGTAACCCTTTGCTATTTTACCTTTAAGACCTCTATATGTAAATGACCTCTGTTATGATCGACTAACCTCTTGAGTACTGATGTAGTTTGTATTGTCACATCAACTTTAATTATTTCCAAAGAACAACTGATCAGCAAAAATACTACCAGCTGCCTCTGCCCAGAGAAACCGTCCACTTTGTAGAGACATTAGATGAAGTTAAGCAGTGCAGAGAAGCTGTTTTAAAGGTAACCCTTTGCTACTGTACCTTTAAGACCTGTGTTATGATTGGCTAACCTCTGAGCATTAATGTAGTTTATATTGTCGCATCAATTTTAATTAGCCTATTTTCAAAGAACAAGGAAGATCCTTTTTTGCATTATATGTCTTCTGTAACTGTCTCTCCTCATTCTTCTTCAGCCTGGTTGTGTGGTGGGAATAGACATGGAATGGAGAGCCGGTTTTGGCACAGTATCCTCTCAGCGTGTGGCTCTGATCCAGCTGGCCGTACAGGAACGGGCGTTTCTGTTGGACCTTTGTGCTCACGCCATTAGCCACCACAGCACCACAGTGAACTTCATCAGAGCTCTGCTGTCAGACAAGAACATCCTCAAACTGGGTAGGAAACCTTGAGGCAAATTAAGCCACCGACTTTGATGTTCTTCATATTTCTTGTGTTAATAAACTATGGGTTTGCTATCAGGAAAGACATGGTAATTCTGTCTTCTTTGAAAAGCATTGCTAGCTGTATGTGTGTATCTAGGTTATGGGATGTCTGGAGACTTGCGGAGTCTGGTCAGCACGAGCTGTTTTAGGTAGGTGTGGCTGACTCTTAACTTTTATAAAGAATATCTCTTTGGATTTGAGACTTTAGTCTTTGCAACTTTACAGATCTTCTTTATGCACCAAGAGCTTGTAACACTCCAAAGAGAAAGGAAAAATGTAAATCGCATCATATGACCCCTTTAATATATTGTTAAGTAAGTAATGTACTTGCATCATGTTATGTTCTCTTCTCCAGCTGGCTCGTGCTGAAGGTCGTGTCATCCTCACCGCTGGTCAGCCCTACCAAACAGTAAGTGTGTGTTTGAGTTGTTGGGAGACATGCAAACTCTGTGAGCTGTCTTGCATCCTACTGCCTACATAAGTAGTTTATCTCCGTAGGCAGCTCAATAGGTTTTAGTACAGAGCCCCAGTCTGCTTACCAAAAAACCTGTGCAGTGACTTTGTGTGTATGTGTGTGTCTGTGTGTATAGTTACGCTCACAGGTCGGAGAGGGCCGCTGCCTGACTCTGGACTGCTCAGAAAAGGCACGTGACCAGGCCGTGCACGTTCTCAGACATTTCCACGTCCACCTCACCCCTGCAGACATCTTCAGTCGATGCCAGGTTAGTTGTGCATGCCTGTAAACAAGCACATATGTGTGCATCTCTTACACGTGTTATCCCCAGAACAGAAACCTCGTCCTCTTTAAAAGAAATGCATTTATCAATTTTATTAATATTAAAAGGAAAGAAAAAAGGAAAACATTCTTTATTGATCTCTCGATAGTGGCTTATACCACAAAAAGTTGCACTGACATTGCAAGCAAACACTAGGAACCTTTTGAGGAGTGGAACAGCCAAGCACAAAATAGTGGAACAACGTTTGTTTTTAAAGATCTTACAGGATAACCAACCAGTGTTTTGCGCCATGAATTCTGTATGTCGGTATCATTTTGGAATTGCATTGTGACTTTAAATTGAATAGTGAGATACCTAAACATTTGCACTGAAGTGCCCCCTGTCTTAAGACATTTGTGTCTTATCTGCAGACGATTCTGTCTTCTTTGAAAAGCATTGCTAGCTGTATGTGTGTATCTAGGTTATGGGATGTCTGGAGACTTGCGGAGTCTGGTCAGCACGTGGCCTGAGCTCAGGGAAGAGCCAATGAAAATGGAAGGAGTTCTGGACCTGCTTCATGTCCATCAGGAGGTGCTGCTACAAATGACCCCCAGCTAACCATTGCTGATTGGATATTTCTAACCATATTTTGATTTTAAAACCTATGTTGATTCTTTATACAATTGACCTCTGTCTCCCCAGCTTCAACGGTGCTGGTTGGGAAAAAAAGGATGTCGGTCAGTGGAAGTGAGTGAGGGACCAGCGGAGAAGGGCCTGAGTTTGCTAGTGCAGCAGGTATTAGGAAAACCACTGAACAAAACCGAGCAACTCTCCAACTGGGAACGCCGACCTCTCCGGACCAGCCAACTCCGCTATGCAGGTAACACACAATTCATGAGTAGTGGCATGGCATTTTCAAACCTTGTCTCATTCTCTTTTTGTGACTATTTTTTTTTAGTCACTGATGCGTACTGCCTGCTAGATGTCTACCTCATCCTCTCCCGGGACCCAAAGGCATTTGGTTTGCCAGAGGACCTCCGCTCCATTCCCTCAGCCCAACTGGCCAAGAGCCGTGAGGAAAAGAAACCCAAAGAGAAGAACAAGCAGTCTAAAAGAAGAGAGGTCAGTCCACTGGTCTCTGACTGTGCTTTTTATGAGCCTGTAGTCTTGAAAATTGCTCTGTTGTCGTAGTTACTGTCATAAAATTCAATATAAAAGTAGCTGATGAGAACGTGTGGAGTTTTTATGGTGAAAAACTTAAGGGATCCAACTATAAATGTGGCAAACATTCAAAACGGTTTATTTTTTGTGGGGTTTTTATGTCATTAGTCACTTTGTGTATTTGAATAGTGAGATACCTAAACATTTGCACTGAAGTGCCCCCTGTCTTAAGACATTTGTGTCTTATCTGCAGACGTAAGAGTTGTGAGTCTGGAAGGAAGCTCAAGGAGATAGAGGGCTTCTCTGGTGACACTTCTCCTGTGAATCATTGGCTTGATGTGCCACTGCTGTTTTCAGTAGAACATGTGCAGGAGGAACTTTCTTAAGGCATTTACTCTCACAAAAGTGATGATCGGAATTCAGACAATGGATATAGATAAGGAAATAAGCAATTACCAGAGGGATATAGAAATAACATGAGACAAACAGAAAGAAAGAGTAAAGACAAAAAAGTACCTAGTCATCATTAGCACTGATATGGTTATTAGGATGTCAGTAGATCGTTGGTAGTTTATGTCAAAAGGTTTTCTATGATAGGCTAAAAAAAATCGTAAGTGAGATCACTTTAAAACATCACATCACACCTTTGTCCAGAAAACCACATGGCATGTAGTGTCCCTCAGGGCTCGGTCATTGGACCTTTGTTATTTAATCTGTATATGCCCAAACAAGGCTAAATAGTGCAACATAACAGAAGAGCATACCATGGGTAGACAGCCAGATCTACAGAGCACTGTTGTTGCTAGGGTATTCATGGTGGTTGCTGGCTAATTGCTTACTAGTTAAAAAAGTTGAAAATGTTTATGTGGTAGGCTAAAATCATAAGAGAGATTGCTTTGAAACATCACAACACACTTCTCTCCACAAAACTACATAGCATGTGGTGTCCCTCAGGGCTCTATCATTGGACCTTTGCTGTTTAACCTTTATATGCCCAAACAAGGCTAAATAATGCAAGATAACAAAAGAGCATACCATAGGTAGGCAGCCAGATCTACCTAGTGCTTTTGTTACTAGGGTATTCTTGGTGGTTGCTGGCTTATAGCTTTTTTATGACAGACTAATATTATGATGAAGATTGCTTAGAAACGTCACAATAGAACTCTCCTCAGAAAACCACATTATTTAAGGTATCAATCATGTCCATAGCACAAACAGGATGGGTTATTATGTGTTGAAATTTAATAAATGTGGTTAGAGGTTTGTTAGAAATAAGATCTTTAGTAAAAGTGATGCTTTCTCTAGCAAACACTGTTAAAAAAAAACGTAATACTGACTAATACCAATAAGATGATCGAGGGATGAGGTGAATAAGTGGAAGGTGGAAGGTTGATGGGAAAGGAGACTGTGAGAAGAGAGAGCCCTGCACATCCTCTCCCGGGACCCAAAGGCATTTGGTTTGCCAGAGGACCTCCGCTCCATTCCCTCAGCCCAACTGGCCAAGAGCCGTGAGGAAAAGAAACCCAAAGAGAAGAACAAGCAGTCTAAAAGAAGAGAGGTCAGTCCACTGGTCTCTGACTGTGCTTTTTATGAGCCTGTAGTCTTGAAAATTGCTCTGTTGTCGTAGTTACTGTCATAAAATTCAATATAAAAGTAGCTGATGAGAACGTGTGGAGTTTTTATGGTGAAAAACTTAAGGGATCCAACTATAAATGTGGCAAACATTCAAAACGGTTTATTTTTTGTGGGGTTTTTATGTCATTAGTCACTTTGTGTATTATTAGATTATATATAATAATTTTCCCATTTATTTTATAATCTATCATTTAAAGTCGCTGCATATTTAATGCATAATTTATAATTTACTTTAAAGAACCCATGGAAAAAATGGAAGTTTTGTGACAGGCCCTGTAATACTGTTTGGCCTGCCTAAAATTTTCTCTTGATGTATTATAGTGGATCACAATCTTTAGAGCAGTTTAGGTTATAGAAAGGTCGAGTAATTTCATCTTCACCAATGATTTTGTAGTGTGTTTTAATCTTCAGGCTCGGCAGAAGGCGAATGAGCCCCACTCTATGGATGACTGTTTAAAGATGACTTCGGAGTATGAAGGGCCCACTATTACACCACCAGAGCTGCGAGTGGTCTGTGATAACATGCTGCAGGGTCTGGGACGTTTTTTGCGCTGTCTGGGGGTGGACGTCAAGATGCTAGAAAACACAGATGACCATAAAGTAGCAGCAGAGGTGAAACAATCAGTCACCCGCTGTTGACATTTGACACATCCATTTTAGTTAAATTTCATTTTTAAACTTAATAGGTCTTTATAAGATGGTCCTCAGCTGTCTAAGATCATATTTAGAAAGAATAAGTAACTAAAAATCTGAGTGGACCTCGATGGCATGTGGTGTCCCTCAGGGCTCGATCCTTGGACCTGTGATTTTTTAACCTGTATATGCCCACACAAGGCCAAATAATGCAAAAAAAAACCAGAAATGTGTACCAAAGTTAGGCTCCCAGATCTACGTACAGTAGTGCTATCGTCAAGTGTCTATAGCCCCATAGAGTCTCCTACAGTTAAATAAAGACAGATGTTGTTGTATTCGGCTGCAAAGAAATTTAAGGAAAATTCCTTCTGAAGTTTAAAGACTTTATTGGTGTCCTCTTTTATGTAAATCTCCGTATTAGTAGTTGTGTCAAAGCATAAGTAAATAACTATTATTACCTGAAAAAAAAATAGTAATGGAATTAAAGGGGTCACATGATGCTGCTAAAAAGAACATTATTTTGTGTATTTGGTGTAATGAAATGTGCTTATGCAGTTTAAAGTAAAAAAAACACATTTTCCACATACTGTACATTATTGTTTCTCCTCTATGCCCCGCCTTTTTGAAACGCGTCGATTTTTACAAAGCTCATCGTTCTGAAAAAGTGAGGTGTGCTGTGATTGGCCAGCTATCCAGTGCGTTGTGATTGGACGAATACCTCAAGCGTGAGACGGAAGTGTTACGCCCCTCACCATACTGTTGATGCCGTGTCCAGCCGGAGCGACGAGACATAAACACTAAAACCCATTACAAACGAGGCATTTGTTGCATCCAGTGGGGACATAATATATTACACGCGCACACACACACATATTTATATGTAATGTATAGAAATAGATTATTTTATGTTATATAAAATTTATATACTACCATTCCTAAGTTTGGGGTGACTGATTTTTTTCCTCACAAAATAATCAAGTATGCATTTAATTGATCAGGTGACAGTGAAAGATGTTTATAATGCTACAAAAATGTATATTTCAAATAAAGGCTGTTCTTTAAACTCCTTCTACTCATTAAACACTCCTGGGGGGAAAATGATCACAGTTTCCACAAAAATATTAAGCAGCACAACTGTTTTCAGCATATTAGAATGATTTCTGAACGGTCGCACAAACAGGATGGGTTATTATGTGTTGAAATTTAATAAATGTGGTTAGAGGTTTGTTAGAAATAAGATCTTTAGTAAAAGTGATGCTTTCTCTAGCAAACACTGTTAAAAAAAAACGTAATACTGACTAATACCAATAAGATGATCGAGGGATGAGGTGAATAAGTGGAAGGTGGAAGGTTGATGGGAAAGGAGACTGTGAGAAGAGAGAGCCCTGCAAGAGAGGACAGGCAGAAAGATGTAGTGAGAGATAACAGAGGAAAAACAAAGGGAGAGACAGACTAGGGTGTGAGACAAAGGGAGAGATGGAGGCAGATATGTGCTTGACTCATTCCTGCTGTAATACCAGATCTCCATTAGAGCTGCACCTCCGGCTCCATTGCAGGTCTACAGTTGTTTACTACCTGTGATTGTAGGATTCAAGAGCACAGTAAAATGGGTTAACATTGCCAGTAAGATTGTTTTAATGTCTTTGAAAAAAGTATTTTATGTTCGCCAAGGTTGCATTCATTTGATCAAAATATGAAATTTAAAAATACAGTTTAAAATAACTGTTTTGTATTTGAATATATTTTTAAAAATGTGATTTATTCCTGTGATGGTAAAACTGAATTTTCAGCCAGTCTTCAGTGTCACACATATTTAAGACATTACACTATAAGCATAAGTTTATAAGTATTTTATGTTTTTGTATACCAGTTACCGGATAGACTATGCAATCTACTCAGGGTTATTAAAGGGTTAATTAACACACAAATAGAAATTTTGTAATTTACTAATGTCAAAAGTTGTTCTAATGTCATTACAAACATGTGACTTCCTTTGTTCCATGAAAAACAAATGGAGATGTTTAGCATTATGTTCACGCTGCTTTTTTCCATATGGATTACAGTTACAGTTCCATAAATAAAAGTAGGTCATATGACTTGTGTATTCTTCTGAAGCCATACAGTAGCTCTGTGTGAGGAACACACTGAAGTTTTAGTAATTCACAAAGAATATAGCCTTTTTGCTAAAGCTCTTAAATTTTATTTTCATTTGCATATTCAAACTTGGAAAATCAGAACTCATTTCATTTATCAGAGGCAAAAAAAGTGATGCAGCGAGTTTGAATATGCAAATGGCAATTGAATGGAACTGAATGGGAATTGAGAGCTGTTTTCAATGAATGATGACCTAGATTTCGGTCTGATCCTCACGTAGATGTACATGGTTTTGAAAGACTGAACATAGCGCACAAGTCAAATGGACTAATTTTATGGTGCCATTTGTTAATTTTTGGAGCTCAACATTGTTTATCCCCATGCACTTTCATTGTAAAGAAAAGATCAGCATGGGGAAGTAATCATATGGGTTTGGAACAACGTGAGGGTGAGTAAATGATGACAAAATTTTAATTCTCTATGAACTATACTTTTACTAATGCTTAATACTTGGCACGGCCTATTATTGTTTATGTCATAACGATTAAGCTGTTGATGCGACATCCTAAAAACTCAGTGACTGTGCAATTCTGCATTATCATATGCCACACACCTCATAACAGTCAAAACAGTTTCTACCACACCAAGTTCACACCTATAGCCAGCGAGGACAGGAGAGCACATAGATCTAGTCCAGACGTGGGTCGTCTGAGCTCCACATGGGTGGTGGTTTCCCCAAATGTGTCAATTTTATGGCCACATACCTTTCCTGAGCGGGTGGCCGTCGGCTCCCATCCTGATCTGTCGCATTCCACCATTTGTTGCCTGAGGTTTCATCCACCTCCACGTGTTTGCCGAACAAAATGTACCAACAAAATGTGCTAGAAAACAGAACGACGGCATTTTTAAGGTCTGAATGAGATTGAATGGCGAGGTTGAAATAAAGACGGTATGATGGCAGGAAAAGTGGAAGGGGGGTTTTGGAGGTGCACCTCGGGGCTGGTATGTGGAAGCCCACCCATGCTAAGTTAACCCTTTTGTTATCAGATTGTAAAGTCCTTTGATTACCAGTGACTTGCCCCTCGGCTCTGTGAGAGACATTCCTGGAGCCCCCTGTGTGGCCCATTGATACTCATTGCCAATCATTAACCTCTCCCCTGCCCATCCTGCCATAATCCCCTCTCTTTCTCTGTCTCTCAGTCTATCTCTCTCTTTCTTTCTCTCTCACTGCTTTATCAATGCCTCTTCCTGTGAATTCATCTCGGTCCACAACAGGTTTAAGTCAGGATCAGGGCTAAACTGAGTTCAAATGTGTGTCACCACAGTATCTAGAGCGCTAAATGGATTAGAGATCCGACTCGATCTAGTAGAATTTTTCTGTTCAGTAACATATTCATTAGAATGACTGTTAACACTTTTAATACAGACATAGATTTCCAGTCAAAAGTTTGAACACACCTACTTATTCTTTATTATGACTGTTTCCCACATTTTAGAATCATAGTGAAGTCATCAAAACTATGAAATAACACGAATAAAAGTACAGGAATTTTGTAGTGACCAAGAAACATGTTAAATAAATGAAATTATTTATAGTTTCTACTCTGTTGCCACTTTTGGTCTATATTACAGCTGAAGAATACTTGTAACAAATTAATAAAGTACATACAAATGTCAAGATTCTAAATATGGAAGTAACCATATATATATAATTGATCAGGTGACAGTGAAAGATGTTTATAATGCTACAAAAATGTATATTTCAAATAAAGGCTGTTCTTTAAACTCCTTCTACTCATTAAACACTCCTGGGGGGAAAATGATCACAGTTTCCACAAAAATATTAAGCAGCACAACTGTTTTCAGCATATTAGAATGATTTCTGAAGGGTCATGTGACACTGAAGACTGGAGTAATGATGCTGAAAATTCAGCTTTGCATCACAGGAATAAATTACATTTTAAAATGTATTACAATAGAAAACGGTTATTTTAAATTGCAATAATATTACACGTTTTTACTGTATTTTCAATCAAATAAATGCAGCCTTGGCAAGCATAAGAGACAAATATCTGGAAGCCCTAACCAGTAGAGAACAGTAGCGTTTAAGATATCTCTCAGCCTTCTTTACGAAGGCTTTTCTACTACTTATCTAAATATATTTAAGAGCTTCAGCATCCACTACTGATATTGTTAGGGTATTCTGGGTAGTTGCATACTGGCATAAATCAATAGAGCCAACAACCATGTCTTCATGATATTCTTGTCCCACAATATAGTTTGAATCCTTTCGTCACTAAAATTATGAGCATTATTAACAGTGATACTTGCTTCAGCAAGAAAGGCTAATTATTTTGGTCACATGGTTATGATTTCTTGAAATCAACACCGTGTTCTTCATATCTCGTACCACTCCTCTGTCTGGTATCCAGTAATACAGTAAAATTCCTCACACATTACCATGTTACTGCTATCATTACCTCTCATACCATTCCATTGGACTCGCAGGGCCAATGCTTGATCCCTGCCATTTCTCTGGGAAACTCTCCACAAATGTGCCTCCACCGATGTGGCATCCAAACCACGGAGACAGACTTTCTAGGTTTACTCGATGAGCTTCATACAGCAGCATCAGATGACTACCAACCCTTTTTTTTAGACATGAGACTAGCAGGTTCTTGGTATCGCAGACGCTGCCGTGGCACTAGCGCAGGAGTTCCCACGATACCGTGGAGGGGAGGTTTTGGGGGGTGAACAGGAACCGAAACGACTTGAGAAGCTATAAGGAGAGAGAGGAAGAGAACGAGCGAGAGGGTGTTTGAAAGAAGGATTTCTGCCTCTTTGATCTACAGAAGGCTGGGAAAAAGGGAAGAAAATGAAAAGACAGGAGAACTTTGAGGTTCTACTGCAGC